AAGAAGTACTTCCCTTTTTATTGTTGACAAAAGAGAGTCATTAGTTATTGTTTGATGTTTGTTATGATTATTTGTTGTTGTGGATTTTTTTGTAATATGTATATTATGTGTTTTGATTGTTTTTTCTATGTTTGCTTTTGGATAATTTTGTGTTGTTGTGGTTTTGATTTTCATTGGAATCACTTGTTTTAAAATTGATCACTCATTGAGGGGGAGCTTAGGAGAAAATTTACTTTAGTGATAACTCAATCAATAATTGTTTTATCATCATAAAAAAAGGAAGAGATTGCTGAAATTTAGTTTTCAAAACTATAATTTTATATCAATTGAGATTTTAATGAAACAAAAATATTATTATGTTGATTACTGTTTCTCTTAACATATATTGAATATATTTTATTTTTTTGTACTAATGTTTTAGAAAATTCATACTCCATACTATCGAAGACTTCAAGACAGATTAGATAAGGATTTTTTATAATTGAAGTATGTACTTTTTCTATTATTCTTGAGTCTAAGAGAGTGTGATTATAATTGGTTAACCGTGCACACATACACTGGGGGAGTGAGTCAAAATTTTTATTTTTAAAACTAATCGTATTTTACGATTCTTGAATCGTACTGGACAATTTGACATGAAAGTTTCTCCATAACAAAGTTAATCAAATTATACCTTGAAAATTTTCTTTTAAACTATTCGTAATGTTCAAATTGGATTTGTACAAACGATGTCCATAGTACAAAATGAATACGTACCATTTCATCCTGAATGAACTCATCATTTTTTAAACGGATCGTACTATACAAAGTGAGGTTCGTACAAATGATGTCTAGAGCACAAAATGGGAGCATACCAATTCATCCCATACGAACACCTAAATTTTTTAAATTATTCATATTGTACGAACTTAGGTTCGTATAAACGACGTCCAAAATACGAAATGGCTTCGTCCATGTTCGTACCACACAAAGCATGATTTGTTTAAATAGCTCATATTGTACGATGTAGGGTTCGTACATATGACAACCACTGTATAAAATGGGTTCCTACAGAATCGTACCAGACGACCATGTTCAGTTTTGAACTGTTTGCACTGTACAATGTCAGTTCGTACATACAACTGATATAGTATGAAATCAGTTCATACAAGATCATACAAAGATTTTTTGAACTGTTCGTACGTATGAAGATCGATTGTACTATACGATTCAAGTACATTCAACTTCAAATTTTTAGTTTTCTGGATGATTTTTCTTGTCCTTCATATATAATATTCCTAAAAACTAACTATCCTACTTCTTTTTTGAATTTTTTTCTTGAGAGTGATAGTATTTTGGGAGAGTATTTGGAAGTGAGGATAGAGAGATCTGCAAGTAGAAATTTTGAAGGGTTCACAAGATTACCCAAAGGTGAGGTTCTCTTTGTATGTTCTTCAAATCTCAGGTCTACTTCTTTGAAGACTCTTGAGAGAAGATCTTTAGAGAAGATCAGGTACTCTGCCATCAATAGGAGGGTGAGAAAGGACGTTGGTACTCTATCGTCACTAGGAGGGTGAGAAGGGATGTCGTCGCCAGGAGGGTGAGAAAGGATGTTGGTAATCTTCCATCACTGGTGGGGTGAGAAAGGACATTGGTACTGCTGCACCGAGGTTTGGTGGAAGAGAGGTTATTGTAAGGGCTTTTCCGCCTTGCTATGAGAGCAAAAGGAGAGTCAATTTGATATAGTGCAATACCTGAAGGAGTCGTTATGGAGTGGATGTAGATCTAGTTGGACCGAACCACTATTAAATTTAGTGTTCTTTTATCTTTACATTTTACTGCTTCTTATTTTTTGCACATTTAAATTTTGTGGTTGAAAAATATTATTTAAAAATTTTAATTCTTTTGCAAAATATAAATCAATTTTTTAAATTACCAAGAATTTTTTAAATAATTAATTAGCAAAAATATTTTTATTTAAAAAAAATAGTTTTTGCTCTTCATTAATGATATCATAGCCTATATGACAGGTTCCAAAAAAGAAGAATAAAAAATATACCTATTTCCAAGGTTGTGAAAACTGAACCAGACAATGAACAGGTAAAATGAGAGGTTCACGGTTTGGAAGAATGAGAGGTTCACGGTTTGATAGGGTCGACCGGTCGAATCGGGGTCGAACCGGATGACATAATAAATAATATTATTATAAAATTAATAAAATTAACAAAATAATAATACCAATTTAATCTAAAAAATTTCATTATTCTAAAAATTTTGAGACTAAAAATAAATAAAATTTATACATATATAATATATTGCATAATTTTAAAATTAAATATAAGAGAACAAAATAAAAGTTGAAATCTACCACAACCAACCAGTAGATTCAACAGATACATACAGTCATAACCGAAGACTAAAAGGAAACCAGAAAAACTAAACAAGACTAACAGCTTGAGCTGCTGAAGAACATGAAAATTCAGTGCCAAAACCTATACCACAGAAAAGGAAAACTGCTGAGAATTAAAAGCAATATTAACTCTTTGAAGGCTCTTCTCATAAAAAGCTCCCAAGACAAGAAGCACCTGGACTCAGAAAATTTAATTCAAGAGAAAAGTAGCAGCCGGACAGTTCCCTGGTTGCCATAAGGCCGTCCAAGGGAAGGTTTGGGAGCTTCATCATCGTCCAGGTGATCATAATGATAACGGGTGGAGTCAGATCTGAAGTCTCCCGGAAAACCATACAGACTGCTACCGAGACAGCAGCAGCAATCAGGGGCAATAGTAACGTAGCAAAACAGAGGAGCAGAGATACCCCAATAGTCATAAGATGCTGAAAGCAAAAACAGAGCAAGTGATGCCCAGAACCCACCTGCAGCAAATTATCTAAATAGTAAAGTTTCTCAACAAGTCTCCATCACACCATTTGGAGACCTTGCAAAGAATGGCTTTTTTGATCTTAATCAAGACAGTGGAAGTGCTAGAAGCAGCTAAAGCAAATTTCCTCTCATTTCTTTCTCTCCAAACATGATAAACTGTGCAGCATATGGTAATGAAATAAAGCCTCTTGGTTTGGAGAGTGAAGTTTTGATTTTCATTAACCCAGTCAAACATTTGCATCAAGTTGGGTCTAAGTAGAATATTGTCTGAGTTAGGGATGAGAGCTGTGATGATGAGATGACTGTAATTACATTCAAAAAATAGGTGATTAGTGCTCTCAATGTGGTTAAAGCATAAAGAACAAGTCAGATCCACCCCAATGTTTCTACGATGGAGTTCCATAGCCGTTTTAAGTCCCCCTACCAAGGAAAGCCAGGCAAAAGTAGAATATCTCAACGAGTGTTTCGAATGCCAGATATAATCCTCCCAATTGCAATTCGGGGTATTATTGTAAAAGTCAGTGATAAACCCTTTGAAATTAGCTTTAGCATTATTAGCCAAAGATAAGCAGTCAGTATTGTTATCCAGGATACAAACCCTGAGAATTGCATTAGAGACCATACTTGGTAAATTAATAGGGAAGTTCCAGCAGCCATCAGGGGAGATGAAATTGCTCACACTAACATCCTCATAGTTAGCATATTCAGGGTTTAAATCAACCAGTCTAATAGAATTACACCAGCTATCCCAGAAAAAAGAAAAGGGGGAGTTAGTAGTGACTTTGAATTTCCAGATATCTTTAGAGGTAACAGCAGTACTGCAAATAGAAATCCAAAATTTAGAAGCTTTGGAGTGAGGCTGTTTCCAAGGGGAGGAGTAATAACTGAACAACCAAGACGCCAAAGGAGACGGTCTATTATATATTCTGTATATAAGAGAACAATTAAAACCATGTTGTAAGGCAGGGATGCTATGTATACCGAGAAGTTTTAGAACTTTAAAAATTATAAATAATTATTTTTTTTATTTGAATAATTATAAATATACAAATAATTATATATTTAAGAACTTCAAAAAATATTATGATTATTTTTATTTGAATATTTCATAAAAAAAATTTCCAACAATTTCTCTTAGAAACATCCATCTTGTACTTGTTGAAACTAGAAACTACTAGTTGTTTAGTCCCACATCACTTAGAAATTTTATATTGTGTTAGTTATATACCTTTTCTTTTAGCCATAAGTTAAGAGCCACATGCTAAGAGCTTTCATGGTATTATTGCATCATGTGAGCTAGATTGTTTATTTTTAATTTAATATTTGATATATAATATAATTAAATTTTTGGAATTATATTATTAAATAAACTATACAACAACAACAACATCAAGCCTTTATCCCACTACGTGGGGTCGGCTACATGAATCCTTTTAATTGAACCTATCAGTTCTTAAGAACCAGCCAGCCAGGTGGATTCAACGGTCAGGCGGTTGAACCGGCGGTTCAAACCTGTTTTCACCGGTTTGATGCTAACCCGATTTTCCAAGATGACCAAACGGGCCATTGGACCGATCCGATCTGATTTTCAAAACCATGCCTATTTCGACTCTTTATTAGTGATATAGCAGGCTTGGTAGCCCTTCATTAATATATGAAAGAAATTTTAAAAAAGTAAGCATAAAGAACTACTAATTATTTTTCCCAAAAGAAAAAAGCTGCGGCCAGTTCATATGTTAAAAAAAAACCTATTGTTTCTACTTTTTATAGTTATTTATGATATTTTCATTAATGCAAGGTGTCCTAATTTCAAAATAGACGGTCACAACAAGCAAAATAAGAAATTGGGCAGAAAAAATGTGACAAATGTGAAATCTATCACGAAATCGAGCGGCTCGCAAGCTAGCTCGAGCTCGTTTATAACGGGACGAGCTTGGGTTTAAGCTCGCCCGACAAACGAGCCGAACTCAATAGTGCTAAAACTCAACTCTTGACTCGTTTACAACCCTACCCACTACTAACATCAAAGATCCTTTCAATTTATATTTATGATAAATATAATACATGATTAATTAATAACAATTACATTACAGACATCTCTAAAGTTAAAAAATCATCATAATTAAATCTGAGAAGGATACTCTTAACCACAATTTTTTTCTTATAAAAAATCTGATTTGATAAATTGCATCAATACACAAAAAAATAAATCAATCAAAGATCAATATAAGATCACATACAATATAGCAAGCAGTTATCAATACAAGAAGCAGGTCATTTACATGTCTTATAAAGTCCTTGCTCGTACTCTTTTTTGGCTAGAGACAGAAGAGCTAAAAAGAACATATCTATTTAGCTATTCCTGCATCTTCTAGCTGTTCTGCAAATGATCAAAGCTCAAAGGTTGCAGATAAACTGGCGCCTGCACATTGAACTTGTCATCAGAAAGAATTATTGAAGCAGAAACTTAAAAAAATTAATAATAATTTTTAAAAAAATAATTAAAAAAAAAAACTGAATTCTAAGCTTGTTTTCAAGAACAAATCAGATTAACTGATCACATTCCAAATATCCATAATATGCAAAAAAAAAATATTGGTTTTTAACATCAGAGAACTCATTGTTTTGAAAATTTTTTGAAAAGTGGATCGGATCGATTAGTTTGACCAGTTCCATCGAAAAACCAGTTGGCTAGTCGTCCAAATTTTCTTTAAAACCAACTTTGCAATGAACCGGTAGTTCGACCATCAAACCGGTTTCAATTTATAAGAACTAGCTGGTTCTATTATTATCTAGTTTATAAAATTAAATAAATTTATTAAACGAAATTAAAAATTTTAAATTTAAAAAAAAAATTAAATTTGTTATAATGATCAATTTTTAAATAAGCTCTTATACCTAAATATATAACATAAATTAGTTTTTATTTATATTGAATTTATATATTTATATATGAACTAAATTTCTATTAAATGTAAATTAAAATTAATGATTGGGGATATTTACATTGAAATTTAAATTTATTTATTTAATTATATTTAAATATATAATATAAAGTAATAATTATTTATATTCATATTTAAAATTATATAATATGTTATTTATAAATGAATTTTATTTATTTTTGTTCCAAAATTATATTATTTAATAATTATTACACCATATCTTATCATTTAGATATTATTTAAATATTTTTAATATTTGTTACATCATTCAATTCGACCCCAGTTCAACCAAGATCGAATCATTGAACGTTGAACCTCTTTTTTTTTTTTTTTTTCCATCTCCGGTCCAATTTTTACAAACCATGGGAGAACTCCAAGTTATCTAATTATATAAGAGTAAAGATCAAAGGAAAATGAGAATGTTGCTTTGAACAAGGTAATAGCAAAGGATATCATACAAAGACTACAGCTTGAAACTACCACAATAGAGGGTAAATTCAATCAAGAAACGAAAGTAAAATTAATGCCACAAAAGGATAACCTAACTTAAAAAAGGTTCAAACACTTGTACTAGCTCCTGCTAGGGATTTCAAGTTGGCTCATAAGTGGGCTCATTTATTATAATACAACAAAAACAACATCAAACCTTTATCCCACTACATAGGGTCGGCTGCATGAATCTTTTTTTCTCTATTGTATCATGTTAAGAATCAATTTCTCATTTAAATTTAATAAAGAAAGATTGTTTTTAATATTTTCTAACAAAATTTTTTAGGTCTACCTCTACCTTTTTCTTAACATAAGTCAAATCTAATACATCTACTCTCCTAACCAGGTCATCGGAAGGATCTAATACATCTACTCTCCTAACCGGGTCAGGCCATTCAAGAATGAAACTCAAAAAAAACAAAATACAAACTAGTGCCTATATGTTGAAAAAATAAAGGGCTTTGTAATCTCAGTTATGGTAAATCTGTGAGCTTTCTTACCTGATATACCGCGTTCCTGAAGTGCTCGTAGGACTGTGAATACACAAAAGCAGGTGCACGCCATTGCATATAAACAGAACCTGGGCTGCTGCACCCAACAGCACTGAGAGTGGGAAGAACTTGTGACCCGAAAGCCAGCTGAGAAAAGCCTCCATCATATAACAGGAGTGAAGGCTGACAAACATTCGAAACTCCCATGGTAAAATTATGGCAAAGCGCAAAACCCGAGACATACCTGCTAAAGCATTAAAGCGTTATCGGATTTCATAAAAATAGATATTGAATGAGACTGCCCAAGGGATACCCGTCATACCTGTCATAACTCCGGTCATAATCGGGGTCACTTCGATCTTTTTCCCGGTCCTTGAAGATAGCAATACTGGAAGAAGTTGAATCCTTGGTAACCATCTTTTCTGACTCTTCTCTATTATTAGTATTCCAGCTGGTTTCCTTCTCACCTCCACTATAAGGGGCATTTCTTACAACAGCTGGACCAGAAGAGCAGCTGAATATGCGGGCTCGAGCTTTGTCATATTCCTCCATTCGCTCTTCCACAGTCCTCATTAAGCTCATGTTTCCTGCCTCCGATGTATCGCACAGAGAAGCTTTGCTTGGTTTTCGTCGAACAAAAATTTTAATTTGTCCTGCCCTCTCATTTTCATGCTGTTTTACAGATATATCTGATAAACAAGTGAGTGGATATCTACTCTCAGAAGTCTTCCTGACTACTATCCTACTCCCAGAACCATCTGTAATATTGTCAACTGACATTGTTTGTAGGCCATAATGTTGAGCCACACGATGAGCTGCGCACCTGAGGTATGAAGTGGGGAAGGGCTGGAATTCAAATTGGTATTGATCTGGATTCTGCATGAACTGCTGAATTTCCAGCTCCATCCGCAAAACTGCACTCAAAATATTCATTATCAGGTGATGGAAAACATAAAATATCCCCAACAATTTAGCTTACAAGTCTACACAGGTCGATGTTCACTATAAATCATGTTCAACGAATAAAATATCCCCAACAATTTAGCTTACAAGTCTAAAAAGGTCGATGTTAACTATAATCATGTCCAACGAATAAAAAGGCAGAAGAGTCGTACGCACTAAGGTGCGACTCAAGGCGAGGCGGACCATCTGCGCGTTGAGGCTTACACCTTGTTGGGTCCGGCGGAGCGTGCGCTTTTTACGCACGGAGCATAGGCTTCGGTACGTAACGCCTCGAGGCGAAACGAGGCACCGCTTCAATTTCGATTTGTAAGTATATACACCGAGTGGCGAGAGTCGTATAAGAGTCGACGAGTATTATGGTAACATACCTGCTTCTGCTTCAAGTGAGAACTGAAAAGAGAACTCCCTTTCTTCCTCTCCGCGGCAAAGGTAGCGATTTATTTCCCTTGCTTCCTCTTCACCTGCTTCATCGAAGGCTTTTTGTTGCTTGTTGCTATGGCTGTAGTGTAGTTTTTTTTGGAAGTAAGGAATTATAAGTAAATCCTTCTAATTGTGTATGTTAATGACATAGTTAATGAAAATAATTTCCAAATTACTCAGGGTGGTTGTGAATCCTTCTTCGCCTATCCTATTAATTTCTGCAGATGTTAACACAAATTTATAAGCTTTTTTCTGGTATTATTTTGCTATGTAGTCTTTTGCCCACCCTTTTCATTCCAATTCCTTTTGCATTAACGCCATTAACTATATCACACAACCTTAGCAGTGCATCATCTATACTCTTATAAATGAGCACAAACCTATGTTGCCTATTTTCTAATGTCTAATACAGTTTACTACTCCTGAAACTAATCTAATATAATCATTCTCCACTCTACGTTCTAGTTTAGCACATCCATGTTAGCTCTCTCACAAACTTATGTTAGTGCATACACTTGAAATGTAGAGAAAAAAAAGGTGTGGATAGAATATAACTCAAATCTTATGAACAACTTGTTGAGTCTATTAATTAGATTGTTAAGCCTAAGTGAGTGTCCCAAGGCTACCAAGAGGGGGGGGTGAATTGGTAGTTTAAAAAATTAAAATTTAAGACCCTTTTTTTTTTAATTTTGTAGAAAAAGATTTTTCAACCACAGAGTTTTTAAAACTGAAATAGAAAGTGCGGAAATGTAAAAACAGTAAAGTAAATGACACCAGATTTATAGTGGTTCGGTCTATAACCAGACCTACATCCACTCCTCAGAGACACTCTCTGAGTATTGCACTAATACCAATAGTGACTCTCCTTTTGCACCCACAGCAAGGCGGAGAAGCCTTTACAACACACTCTTTTCACCACTCCCTGGTGCGGCAGAGAACCGTCCGTCCTTTTACACAATACCCAGTGTTGGCAGAGAACCGTCCGTCCTTTCACACTCTCCTAGTGTGGGCAGAGAAACCCTTCGTCCTTTCACACTCTCCTAGTGTAGGCAGAGAACCCTTCGTCCTTTCACACTCTCCAAGTGTCGGCAGAGAACCGGATCTCCTTAACAGATCTTCTCACAAGAAT